TTTCATGTGGCTGGATGGGGTGGATGGGTGGAGGGCGCAGCTCCTCCCCCTTCAGAGCGAAGCCAACAAACACCAAATGGTCGTTGCAAGATGGGGCTACTTCGCAAGCCAAACGTTTGCAACATGTTCATGGAACTTGCCCAATGGCCCAATTCCCATCGACCTTCCTTGCGCAGCTCTCGCTTTTTGGCCGAACGCGCCAAGAAAGGCGCCCCAAGACCATTAATTGATGCCGACGGAACACATTTGAAGCAGCAAGAGATCAAGAAGTCACAAGGAAGACCCGGACCAGCAGAACACGGGGGACCAAAACAGGGAACGGCTGATCAGACCAGGGAACCAGCGGACTAGGGGATTATAATGTTGCGGTTGATCTTCTTCATTCTTTCTGAGCCTGTTCGTTTCTTGATATATATACATGGTCAGGAATTCCGGGACCAAATAGGTGATGAGACCTCAAAAAGCATGTACCGTCCAACATGGTGCGGTTCGCTCCAAAGCTGAGTTCAAAGCTCTGGTCAATTGACTCTGCGTTTCCCGCCTGACTTGAAGTTATCCCCACGGAGCTGCTCAGACTTCACAAACTTCTCTCGATGTCGCTTCGTCATCAGCACAGGATCCTTCTCATCTACATCGCTGCGGACCTGAAGAGGTCTGCATCTTGCACCTGTGTTTTGATGTGTTTGTTTCGGAAAAGCAGAACACGCCACAAGACCAAACCATGGTTGCTCTGGTTAGAGTTGTTCTGTACTTGAATGATGCCCCCCCGGCAATGCAATGGGACATGATAGTTAGAATAATTCAAAGGCCACCGACAGAATTGAACGCTCATTTCTCAGACTTCTCACTTTCCTTAGAGTAGTTCCACATACTGTAATGGCTTATGATGTGCTGGGCCCGGTGTCTGCCACGTCTTCACCCCTTTGTCCCAGTTAATTACTTTACTTCAGAATTTCCCACCCTCAAAGAATTGGTCTTCACAAGAGAAAAGCGGTTCGGCGCGAAAAGGATTCTTTATTGAAAACAAAACCACACATCGAATACTTACTTGTGAGGTTTCTGAACTTCGATATTTTAATGCCTGGCAACCCCGCATCCCTGCCAAGTCAACTTGTGGTGGATATGCTGTGGAACTGGTACTTGGGAGCACTCTGGTGAATGTGCTGGTGTCAAGGCTACGCTGGGCTACTCGGGGCCACTCTGGTGGATGTGCTGTGTAAGGGCTACTCTGGGCCACTGTGGGCCACTCTGGAGGGTGTGCTGTGTTCTTTGGGTTGCTCTGAGCTACGCTGGGACCACTCTGGTGGATGTGCAGAAGTAGCGAGTCTACTGAAGTCCAAAGTTCTTAAAATCTAACAGCCCCACAGTCCTACGGGTGGGGAAAAAACTGCTTTGATAAGTACATTACAAGTCTACAACTATCCTGCGATCTCTTGGTAAATGTGCTGTGGACAAGCTAAGTTGAACTACTTAGAAATCAGTTTGTGAATGTGCTGTGGAAGAGCTAGGCAGCTAGGTTTAGCTACTCAGGGATCAGTTTGGTGAATGTGGTGTGAATACTCAGAGGTCATTTTGGTGAATGTGCTGTGGAAGTGCTACGTTGAATTACTCAGGGATTACTTTGGTGAACAGGGATCAGTTTGGCGAGCGTGCTGTGAAAGAGCCACTTTGGGCTACTCAGAGATCACCTTGGTGAACGTGCTGTGGAAAAGCTAGCTTGAAAACTCAGGGATCACTCTGGGGAACGTGCTGTGGAAGAGCTACTTTGGGCTACTCCGGGATCTCTTTGGTGAACATGCTGTGGAAGTGCTGCGTTGAACTACTCAGGGATCACTTTGGTGAGTGTGCTATGGAAGAACTGCTTTGGGCTACTCAGGGATTACTTTGGCGAGTGTGGTGTGGAAGAGCTAAGTTGGGCTAGTCAGGGATTCCT